CCTCCATATCAGCTAGTGATACCGAAGAGACATCACATTACATGCTAGAAAAACATATAGGGATTCTTTGATTCAAAGGAATTTTATAGGCTCTTTCGGGGATTTTGTTCTGTAGGAAAAAAAATCTACAATTGTTGTTTGATTCGCAGGATTGAAATCCTTAGGAATTTTTTCTTAGGTTTCATTTGCATTCTATTTGTTTTTCCTGTGTTTGCAAACATTCTTTGATCAGAATTCCCATAGTTTTCCTATCCTATAGGATTCAAGAGGACATGCCACTTAAATCATAGGTTTTTTATATTCCTACTTTCTGAGGCCCCACAAGCAGACTGAGATATACCCATTGTACTTGTATATGCCCTTGTGGTTTTAGTGGTTCCCTATATAGGCAAAATATCTGGTTTGATACTCCCATGCTCAAACCAAAGAAGATTTGTGCTCCTTACATATCCTCGGTGACTGAAACATAAAAGGAGAAACGCGCATCTCTTTTGTCAAGATAACAATGTTCCCTTCCCAGAAGGCATAAGATTGAATAGGAAAATGTTTTGAATATTCCTTTCATCTTTTTGACAATGTTCACCTTTTAGTGCCAAGCTAGCTGTGTTGCGTTGTACATTTTGCTAGTCCAACTTTGATCCTATACTTGTTTAGCGAATAGAGAAAAATCGGATGGATGTGTGACCATCTCGAAATTATGTAAGTAATATCATTTTTCTTGCTTATGTCGAATTGTGTGTGACCAGACGGATCTGTGTCTGGTGAGGGCGACTACAAGGATTGCAAATTAGGTATATTGTCATATGCGTCTCAATTTTCCATGGAGATCCGGGGGCATTCGATGTGGGTATGGTTGCATGACATGGAAAACAATCCAATCTGACGCTTGGTTTACCAGATGAACCACTTGGGATAGATTTGTTCTCCAAGTTGGAAGCCGTATTGCTAGTACCTGATTGAACTGGTATCAATTGGCGTTCCATTTGGCTCTGTGCTTTCCTGGTGAAAGAGATTCAGAGATTGAACTGTTTTGGTGGCCTTCTGTGCCGTCGTGAAGCGCGCTCGTTAGGTCTTTCATGTAGAAAAACTCCCAGCTTAGGCTTTACTTTGAGTTCTGCACGTAAAGGATGCTGGTACTTTCTGTTGTTCCGTTATCTCAATGATAGTGGAATCCGGCCATCGTGGCCGTTTGACAAA